AGTGTGCATAGATTGCGGAGTGACATGGATCTTTCGGCCCCATGGCAAACCCCAAATAGATAAGGCAAGACGAGGGGCTGGTGAGGTGAGCTGATCTCCCAATCTGAGCAGTCACCACACGACTCCCTATGGCTTCCGCTTGCAGAGCCGAAGGTCAAGAGAGTGCCGGCCAGCAGATGAGGTCAGGTCTTCCTGGCGAAGGACGTGCAGACTGGCGAAGACCTTGCCGTGAAAGTGGAGTTGCTCAGCTGCACCCCTTGTGCTTAAGCGTAGGAAGAGTAAGTCTTCGTGAACAGGTAGCGTGTTGGGGCAAAAACGCCGGACCACGTTGACCAGCACAAGACATCGGTGGTGGTACTTTAGTGACGGTGACATTTCAATTGTTGGAAGTCGTGCTCCCTCCTGTCCTCGGCATCTTAGTCTCGGCTTTGAGTGAGGGAGGGAGGGAGATGGAGGGAGGGAGAAGCTCAAACAGGGCAACTACCAGCTTGCCTCTGCGATTTGCTCCAGTCTCCGCCAGCCTTGGCTCGGAGCATAAGAAGCGACACATGCAGCTGACGAGCCTCACCCTCAAGATGTGTGTGGCTGTTTGTGCAACGTTCGTCTGACCTCAGCTGCACCAGGTCCGTTTCGCCACACCTTGAAGCAGAGCTTGCAACGTGCGCCGCTTCGACGGATTCGTTTTGTCGACGATCTGGACACTTCCCGCGCATGCGATCCCGTTGGCCCCGTGCATTCTTCGCCACTCCGGAGCGGCCCAACGCTGTCCTGTGCTTCTCTCTTTGGGACGCATGTCCCTGATCTGTTTTCCAATTCATCCATGCCCAAGCCATGAAAGCGTCCAGGCCCGTGAACTTCATTTCCAAGTGCATCCGTGTCCCAACCCTCATCATGTCCATGTACAACGTCTATGTGCATCCCTGCCCTAATCCAGACTCCAACCACGAGAGCTTGCATGCATGATTGAGTCCATGCAGGGCCAAACCATGACAGCATTTGTTCACTCGCGGTCACATCAATGTCCTCTATGTGCCACCGCATCCATCTGTGTAGCGAACTCATGCCCAAACCATGGACTGGCACATGTTTTCCTAGTGCACATGTCATCACGCCCACGTGGGCCCTTGCTCGTACCGTCATCATCGTCGCTTCCATATGCGAGCATGTCCATATCACACGCATCCACGCTCCAAACATGAGTCTGCGAACGTCCGTGAACGATCGATCCTTCTTTTCAACGTCCATTCGTGGACTCTTTTATGTCCTCCCTCGCGTGCGTATTTCTCGTGCCTCGCGCTGCAGACCCCTCTGGGAGCACCGTGCGACAACCGTAAGTCCATGCCAGACCCTGAGAACTGACCAGATAGGGTCTGAATTCTGCCAACACAGCTCCGATTGCACTCCCATGTGGGGCAGTCGAGGAGGAATGCAAAATCACAGTCAGTGTTCAGCAGCAGCAGCTGTCAAGTGCACCAGGACTGCGAGCGTTGCACGAAGCTCTGGCCATGCTGAGTTATCACCTAAGCTGCCCACCGGAGGCATCCTGTCGGGAAGCACTCTTCGCTGACCTTCGAGGCAAGACATTCGAACGAGTTTCCCCTACAGAGCGTTAGATCGAGTTTTGTAGCTGCAGTATTTCACGATGATCAGACTTACCTGCTGTGATCTCACTTGCGAAACCCGGTGCATTCGCGTCCTTGCCTCGGGCTCACCCTGCAGGCACGCGTGCTGAAGCGCTTCTCAGCACCAGGCTTCCCAAGAATCCATTCTTTGGGCAAAGAAGGCGCAGGGAGTGGGGTGGGCTGGCCAGCAAAAGCACGCATTCCACAAGACAGCTTTTGTCCGAAGCAGAGTCTTCCCGGATGCGAGCACACGACCGGGGCAGGTTGCTATCATCTCCTGGCAATGGAGTTGCTTGGGCCGTCTATAGAAGCGACCTTCAACAAGTGTGGTCGCAAGTTTGGCCCTTCGGCTATTACCTGCAGTGGCTAAGTGCCAACAGCTGTCAACTGGTTTTTGCTCTCAGTTTGGAACCAATGCTTTGAGGCCTCAAGACCCTACTTATGATGGCAGAGCAGATGGTTCGCCTGCTCGAGTATGTCCACATGAAGGCAAGGTATCGGAGGGAGTCGGACGAGGGCAGCGACATGGCTGAATGCGTTCAGACCTGCCGTTTCTTTGCCCGGGGTGGTCTTCAGCCCAATAGGAACATGATGACGTTCTTGTGGTTCTCCCCCGCTTGCTTGCAGCGCCAGTTGGCGCTGCAACTGTTGGAGAGCTAATTGGAAGCCTTCGCAAACTTGTCATTTGAACGAGTCACGTGGATTGCCAGATATGGTGAGGGGTCTCCTTATTCTGACCTGACAGCTGTATATTGCTCCCGACTCGAACAGAGATCTAACCTCCGGACGGCAGATAGTATTCCCAAGTCGGGCGTACTTGTGCCCATGCTTCATAGTGGATAACTGAAGAATTCTGCATGCAAATCCTCTGCCTCCACGTCTTGCCAGCCACATGGCATGGTCTACCTTCCGCTTGGTTCTGCAACGCGTCACCTGGGCTCCAGCTGCAACGCTGGTGCATGGTCCTGTCTTCTTCAGCAAAGGCTTACTTTTATCCCCGAGAAAGCCAACACTTGCGACCCTAAACCCTCAGGGCTATGTACATCGTGACATCAAGCCCGAGAATTTCCTCATTGGCCGGGGGGATCGGCGCAATGCTCCTCGCATTCATCATCAGGGCATTCACCTAAGGTTCTATGAAGATTGAAAGCTTGTAGACGGCATACAGTCAACAGCCTTCTCAACAATACCCAAAAGCCACAGAGGGTACAGTCATGACCTTAGCAAAACTGTCACTAGTGTTGAATGCAAGACTAAAAGACTTGAAAGTCATGAAGACAGTCTGTGGCTGTGTTCATTTGGAGCTGTTTGCGTAGTGAGTTCAGTTGCCGACTTCTTTTGACACGGGAATGGCTGAATAGACTATGGACTATGGCTGAAGACCGGTTCTGTGTGGCTGAGAGTTTCCGTACAGTCTCTGTAGTAACTGTGGTAGGCACCCAGTTGTTCTTGGAGCGATGCTGGACGATCACGTGGTTGGGGGTATGGTTTCATCGACAAGCTGCACAGGTAGGAGATCTGGCATGGACACGATTCCAAGTTGGAACCTATCTTTGCTGAGGGGGCAGCCCTTTCGCGGGACACGGTCTCTTTTCGATATGCCTGCCGGCTATAGCTTCAGGTGGTTCATCTCATCGACTTCGGTCTCGCGAAGAGACTGGACCCGGAGAGGAGCCGCTCTCAGCGCCGGGCTGCGCAAGCTCTGCGTTGCTTCTTCGCGCTTGCGCGCTTAGCCTTCCCTACACAGTAAGCCCCTCTTGGCTTTTTTCGCCCAGGCCGAGGCTTGGGCCACGGCGCAGCCTCGTGGGCACTGCCCGCTATGCCCCTTGGCACCTGCAGGCAGCAGGCAGCAGCGATCAGTGTACTGTAGCACCCAAAAAGAGTCTTCTGAGCAGCCGAGGCCTCGATTTGTGCTCACGAGGGGGCAGAGCAGGGTTGCAAAGATGACCTTGAAGCCTTGGCTTATGTGACCCGGCTGCTCGGAGAGTCGGAAGTCTGCAGAAGTCATAGGCTGCACCCAGACTCAAGAACAGCCACTGAGACAGTCAGCGCATCTCACCTCGGCAAAGGTACTCATTTACCTAGCACTGGGCGAGCTGCCCTGGCAGGGCATCCAGGCCGAGTCCAAGGAGCCTGGCTTTTTGCACACTTTCGAACTCGCTGATGTCATTCTCGTCGAGAAATGCTCGGTTCTGCCAGGAGGAGAAGCATGAGAAAATCATGGAACTCAAGCAGCAGATCTCTGTGGAGGATATTAAAAACTGGGTCACTGCACTGTGTCCTCTGATCCACTCTAGACTCTACACTCTAGTTCATACCATCTCCCCGGTTTGTGGGAAGTTCTTTAATTTGCACGTCAGCACGTCGGCTGAAGGAGCTGTGCAAAGACTGCCACGACGTTTTTGCCCGCTTCCTCCGGTACACCCAGGGCCTCAAGTTCCAGGACTCCTCTCAGACGTCCGGCCGCCTGCACGGCTTTGTCACAACAACAACGGCCGAAAGCTCTGCTGCATGCTTCGCAGGAGAAGCCCGACTATACGTTTATCTACAGGCTCTTCCGAGATACCTTGTCCGTGGAGGGCCTCGAAAACGATGGCCAGCTTGACTGGCTTGCGCTGCCTGAAAAGACACTCTGAAAAATAATTTGATGTGGCGGTGCATCATTCGTTCCACGTAGATATCACCAAACCTGCTTCGTTGGTCAGCAGCGCTGTCGTGAGACCCGATGTTTGATATCTACCAAGGAAGTCGATCAGACTGCTAAGCAGATCTGCACTCACTTGCATTGTGGACAGCAGCAAGAGTTAAAGCTTCTGTAAAAGTCCCGGCATGCCATCAAAGGTTCAGACATAATCAGACATTCGTTCATACATGTGGGCTATCACTCCCCCCCGGCGATCTACAGTTTTCGTGTGTGCGACACCTACAAATCGAAGATGCATTCGTAAGACAAGCAGAGGGGGTATGTCTGAGGATTCGTCATATGGTGCTACGGCAGGAGAACTCCCTACCTACTTGGGCTACGTGCTTGTACAGACAGTGACAGAGCAAGCTAGATTTCTGAAGCTTATTATTCAATGAGGCATTGTTGCCAGTACAGGTCATGCAAAACTTTGTATCTTGAAACGCGATCCCATTCCATGCTTTTTCACATCAGTTGCACAAGCTGGCGTAGTCTGCCCATTGGGCAATTTTGAAAACTCAAACGGTTTACATGATTAGAGGAGTGTTTGCATGTCCTCGTTGTTTCACCAGTGCAACTTATTTGTGTGTCCGACGCTGGCATTACACATACTTCTTCTTCCACTCTGCCCGTCACCGTCTCGTTTGGTTTTGATAGCCAGGTGATTGACGTATAGTTGGCAATCGCATGAACAGAGGTCGTCATAATCAACAAATATTGGCAGTATCCGACTCAATATAATTGTGTACATGTTGCTTTCGTCATGTTGCTTTCGTCTGCAAACTCGACAGGTATGTGATGTATCTATATAGACAAGTATTTATGTATGTGTACGGACTGCGCAAGATGCCACCCAGGGTTCGCAGTTGAATGTGTATATACTACCAGAGCGATGGGATGGATTTTGAGTTGTGCATATCAGCCCAAGTCTGTTTCAGTAGATAGACAGCACGTATTCATTCAGTTGTTTCAAGTTCGTTTTTGCCAAGACACCAACTAGCAAACCGCCTCTCAAGCTACCTGCAGACAACCCAAACTGTTCACGATGGTTTATCCGTGCCAACAGTGACAGTGTTCTTTAGCTTTCGCTTGTCTGAACAAAACATGTTGAAAGTTCGTCTTCGTGTTGAGTGCATCTTCTCCCAAAATGCAGACGTTAAACAGCAACTCATGATTTTTGCCTTCGTGCAAAAAGTACAGACTGAGTTTGACATGTACTTCTTAACCAGCCAGTCCTTGGCGTTTGACATCTTGGGGCAGTTTGGGTTGGGTTTGGTTTTGATGCTCTAACTATCTGTGTCCGCCATGTTAACGTCTTTTGTCACGTATGTAGAGGGCATAAACTGACCAAACCTGGTTGCGTTGTATTCACGCTTACCTTACTTAGCGAGCAAGCGAACTGCGATTGAATTGTCATGTAGTTTCTTACCACATGCAACCAGAATACTCGCACAGCAGCTACACGTGTGTAAACCCTAAGCCCTTGCGACTTCCGAGTGTCAAAAAGGCGGTGGACTAGGATTCGGCCTCGCGTACCTCCCGATGTGCGTGACTGAAGCCCAAAACGGAACCGAAAAAGATCGGAAACATGACAAGAACCTAGCACCTAACAACTGTCTCGCAACCTGCGCCGCAAGAGTTACAGATTTTGTTTGTTGTTCGGTGTTGTCAGGTTTATTCTTTTAGTTGTTTTGGACATGCCCTTTCGGCTCGGTGTTTCCTGTTGTTGTTGAGTTGTGTTTTCCGTTGGTTCGTGTTCACACTATGAAGCTTGGCGACTCTCTTTGATCGCCCCAAGCAAGATGCAGTTGAGGAGGAAAGCGATAGATCCATGAGGTACGCGGCACATGCAGGCACGCATGCATCCATCCACGCAGACAGAGACAGACAGACCGATTGAGTTGGCCGAGCCCTCCATGCAGTGGTGTGAGCTGTACATGTCCTCCCAGTCTGCAAGCAGAGCATGTTGCAGAGTAGTTTCAGTTTCCGATGTCGGGGGATGCAGCAGTGCAGCCCGGAGCTAGCAGCAGCCACCGAAAGAGTGGAAGCACAGTTCACCCCCTCGGGGAGACAAGCGGGGATCAGGCGCGGTTAGTGTAAGGGGTCAGAATGGTCCCCAAGCACAGAAGTGTCACACCAGACTTGCAGATTCCAGGGCGCATTCGTGCGCCACAGCAGTGCTTACGTGCTGTCTGTTGGCTGTGTGGAAAGGAGAAGACAGACTGAGAGACTTACAGACTGACTGACTGCCTGACAGACGGACAGACAGACAGACATGTCTGTGTCTGTGCCTGTTCGCAACAGACTCGTGTGCATGTATAGGATAGATGGCATTTATGTTTGCAAGCGCCTATCTGTCCATGTCTCGCAGCCTGCGCTGGTTCCGAGGACCGTGAGTGCTTCGAGAAGCATGAGCTCCTCCAGACTGGATGCGCCCAAACAAGGCTTCACGATGTGGGAAGTAGACGTGATTTCGATCTCTGGAACTGATGAAGCCTTTCAGATGCTAGGCTTGCGCTACAGTTGTTACAAGGGGGGCTATGCAATATTTTCTTGCGCCGAACCTGTACAGAACGATGAAACAAGCCTGGGCTGCCGCTAGAGTCAACACATGCAGAGTCAAGCAACAAGGGAAAGCTGGGAGGCCGTTCGACGAGCCGGAATGTCGAGAAAGGAGGACATCGACGGAGAGAGCGGAGCCACATTGCGGCGAAGTTTTGGAATTGCCTGGGTCAGACCATTGGTAGTTTTAGAGCCTCGAGTTGGACAGTGACGATGAGCCTTGTGCTAAAATTCTTAAAGGGATTGCAGGACTTTCAAACGGTTGCGCATACAGGCCTTAAGATCCAAATTCCTTCCGACCGGTCTTGAAACATGGCTGATGAAACTCCGACGAATCGAATGCTCCGACATTGTCAATGTATATAGCGACACTGGCGGAGCATCCAATCACCAGAAACTGCAAGGTCAAATCAAGCGACAAGTCACGCCGGGACAGTCGGTGCTTGCCTTAGTCAAATCCAGCAGTGAGTATGTCTGAGCTTCCTGGTCCCCACGCACGTCCAATGTCCTCGCATCTCAACAGGCGAAGACGCTTTGCACTTCGACGAAAGCTTCGTCCAGGGAGCGGGAGACGGTGAGGCAAGGACTACTGCCTTCACTCTTTGCATGTTTCTCGACTCCAAGAGCAAAATAAAAATCGGTTCTGGTGACCATCTGTACTGCCCATGCTCCAGGTGTAGGTCATGAGTTTACATGCAGTCTTATTTCCGCACCGCAACGGTAAGAGAGTTGCAGGTTAAGCGTTTATCTTGAGGCCTACACCTGTGATGCATTGCAGGCCCCAGATTTTGCTTTGCCAAAGGCGCTCATTGAGCATGATCGCAATCCTCGCAGCAGGGAGCATGATGCATAACTGACTAGCACTGGTGGTGCAAGTTGATTCAATGCGGCGGCTCACGATGGACCAGTCGGCATAGGTGTCTTCGTAATGGCACCGTCCCTTCAACACCACAGCATCGTAGCCCCGCTGCTCACGCGCACGAATCTGAATTTGCATTGCAGATGCATCCAGCACAGCAACCGTTGGGCACTCCTGGTGGCCAACATGTTGTGGCCAAGCCTGAGAGCACTACTCCTTTGTGTGTGCGTGTGTGTGCGCGCCTTTGCCATGATGGCAGCCGTGGCATTGTTCAGTGTTACTGCGCCCATCAGATGGACTCGTGTCGCTTGGCCGTTCGAATTGCTTTGTCGATGCAGTCGAAATGCTTGGCACTCTTTCGGAGGATTTTTCGGAGCCGAGCCAGAGTTCCCTGATGCCGCATGGAACACTGTTGAAGTCCAGCGACAATGATGTGCAGGCTTCTGTAGCGCACTTGTAAGCTGTTTACAGGAGCTTGTGACATAGGCACAGGTACATTTTCTCTGCTGCTGAAACCTGCCAACACTTACGGAGTATACTTGACTTTGCACAGCCGTTTGAAGTTCAGAGTGCCACCAGCACAGCACAGGCAGTGCCGGAATTCAGCAGAGCATTGGTCGATTTTCCTTCCTCGCAGCGGTGGTTGGCTCCAGCATAGGGTAAGCAAAGAGACGCAGACCGGCTGTACCCAAAATATCGACAGCAGGTACACCTACCCATAACTCAACCCCGACCCAGTGACGTTGCTCTGAAAGGCCTTGACAGCCTTTGGAACGGTTTTGGGTTGGGCTAAACATTGTTCCTGGACGACCCAAGAAGAGCGCCGCCGTCAATGCCATCAGGACTTTATTCAAGAATGTGGCGATGACATTCGGTAGCGACGACTGGCTGCCCCAAGTCCTCTTTTCACTGACCACCGGCGTTGCAGGACCATTCCAATCCAGATGTATAGCACGAAGTCTATGCTTTTGGGACTTTTTTCCCAGATGTCATGAGCTGCTTGCCTTCTGGGATCATTTCGCAGCGCAAGGTCACTGATTTTCCGAGAAGGCTAGTGCAGCTCTGCATTTTCGAGCGCGTTTCCGTGTTACTTTGATGACTGCTGACCAGCAGCTTTGCTTAGTGTGGATCTTCAAGCCCTGCGTTGTCAAGCAGTGGCTTCCTCTGCCCGGCATCTTCGTCACTTAGCGATAAGAACTGGAGGTAATGTGGGCACCAAGCCAAAGAAGATCTGCAACAAAGCCGGAGTATTCCCCCAGGATGTTGCTCCTGGAGTGTGAGCGGCTTTGGCTATTGTACTTGGCAAGGCCATGATAGTTGAAGAAATGTTTCAATCATGCGGTGGGACGCCGCATATCCGTGGAAGCCAGGCTAGTCGGCTAGTCATACTTGGCTCAGATCGGATGAAGACGAAATCCAGGGAATGGGGCTGTCCATGTGGCCTTCAGAATGCGATGCTAGCATTGAGTCGTGCAGGAAACAGTACAGAGGCGGGTTGGAAGGACGTGTAGGTTCGGAACATGATCTCGTCGTCGCAGCATGAGGAAGGGCCCGAACGTCATTGACGGGTTCCTGCACGACAATCTACAGTACAGTCGCACAAATAACGCACAGAGCAGCAGCGCCTGCTACGTGCTAGGCTTGCAGAGAGCCAAGACTCGAAGCATCCCCCAAAATTTGCAGGCGGAAGCCACCGCGCAATCGAAGGAACCCCTACGACCCAGACCCATCCTGTGAACCCTGGCATAGTGGGTGCTGGAAACTCTGGTGTTGTTCTACGAGTGTTGGAACATCGACTGTTTTGAAGAAGTCGTGACCAACTGTACCCGAACAGCTGCACGTGCTTATGAGCAGGGCTGAGACCTTCAAGTGCAGACGTTGCCTTGCGCTCCCCGACCTTAGATGCAGAAGGGACAGTGCCGAACAATGCCAAAAAGTACTTTGACTCTGAGGGATGATGATAATCCGTGAATGAAGGGCGAGAGCACGACGCAGTGCTGGGTTGCGCACAGCGTTGCAGCCTTGGCCCAGACATGACCTGCCTTGAAAGCTGCTGTGAGCCTAGAGCTTTCATCGCAGCTGCAGCTTCAGATGTCTGCAAGGTCTTTGTTGTGTGGTTTTGGGGGCAATGGAGGTGGACCGAGCTCTACCGTCATGTGATTGGCGTGGTGCATACCAACTACCAGGCAGGAGCATAGCTAGGGCAAAGAGTCGGTTGATGCTTCATCTCAGTAGTTCCTAAGAAGGGTTGCTCTTCACGGCATAATGGGCTCGGCGAGGCTAGGCCTAGGCAGTGATTTGGGCCACCAGGCCTATCTGGAGAAAATGGAGTACGAGGGACTGATGAGCAGTCCAAGCCTTAGATCATCGAGGACCTGGATCAGGATTTGTGAGCTGGGTTGATGCCGAAACGGCCTGCGCGAGCATGAAACAGGTGCCACGATCCGTGACAGCCTGTTCTCAACCTTCACGACGATGGCCGGCGGCTTTGCTTTTGCATTCGATTACTCCTTGACATGGTACTGGCGACTGCTGGAAGTCTGCACTGGAAGTGGTGGCATGATGTACAGGTTCCATAGGGAACAACTTGTATGGTGGCCTGGTGCTCTGTACCAGGGATGCCTAGTCCAGGTCTGCAGCGCGTACTGTGATGTGACCATCAAGCTCTCCTCAGCAGGGATGTCTCTCCCCAACGAGGCGCATTCGGGTATTACACTGTATGTTCTCATGGCTTGTCGAGGAGCCTGCATTTTCGAGTGATAATCCGACATGGATCTTTAGCCATTGTGTCACATCAGCTTGATTATTCTCGAATGTGCGCAGGGCTGGTACTGTAGCCATGGCAACATGTCCTGGGACAGGTGAAGTACAACGTGCATGGTGCCAGGCACTCATGCTGAGCAGATGCTTCGGTGTAATAGGTTTGTCGAATCGAGATACGAAGCAGGCACGTTTGAGACTAAGCGTGCCCACGCATATATTCGTTCTCCACACCTTGCGATTAGGAAGCAATAACATGGAAGCCTATTGCTGCTGTTCAACAATTTTCTGGGAATTGCAGACTGCAGGCTTCCATCACTTTTCCCACAGTTGCTTCACTTCCTCTGCGTCTGGTCTCTGAGGTGCGGAAGGAGTTCTTCGAGGGCGCGCGGCGCGCGAGGGTTCCCGGAGATGGAGCAAAGGGCAAAGAAGCGAGAGTCGCGAGAGTGTGTTATGCTCTTGCTTTACAAGGAGGCAGAGAAGGGCAGACACTTGTTGGGCCTGTGGGGGTTTGAGGCCGATGTGAAGCGGAAGAGGCTGCGCCTGAAGCCCCAGAAGAGCGTGCGGGAGCCTGGCCATGAAAAGTCCGGCACATGTTGCCTCGATGCTCGCTCCCCATATTCCTTGCGCAGCTCCCGCACCTGCCGTTTCAACAGTGCGCTTGAGCGATTGATGCCCTGCATGTTTTTCTGGTGTAGTGCATCCTCACTGTCGGCTGTGCTTCTCAACTCAGGTAGTTCCTTCAGAATTGAGTAATCCTTCGAGACCTGAAACAGGAAGCTGAAGGGCTTCAGAGCGTGCGAACCACCGCACGGTCAGCACACCCTTCCCACCTATTCCACGGTTCAGTCAGCAGAAAGTGTTGTTGCTATCTCAAATTTCGATGACGGCACCATGTCTAACAACGTCAGACTAGAGCGAACCGACGAGCAATGCGAAGCATGAACCACAGTAACTGCGGCCGACCTGAGGCCAACCAGGTTTATTTCATCGGGAAGGCTGTCAAGCCAAAGGGATGGGCCAGGAGCCTAAATTGAGCACCCTTCAACCCCTAAATTCAAAGCCCTTCAGCCCTAAACCTGATCACAGTGGAGGAAGTCAGATCCGTTCATATGCTTGTACTTCCTACCTTGTCGTCATCACAGTCGGTTATGCCATGGTCGAAGGAGAGAGAGGTATCCCCATAACATCACTGCCATCTTAGGTTAGACTCATCAAGCTGCTGGGCAAATTGCCAGCCGGAGAGGCCTGTGTCCGAACTTGCGAGAACTCTGCTCCTTAGGCTTCAAGCTTTTGATTTTACGCTTGGGGCCAGCCTTCTCCAAGCATCGTGACGAGGGCTGGGCTGACTTCGCCGTGGATGGCTTCGGATCTGGTGCGGATGCAGAGGCATTTTGTGAGTTGAAATGTCGCACATGCATTTGGCAAGCTGCTGTAGTCACTGCTCAGCATCCTTTCTCCGAGTCGAAGCTGGTTTACGTAGCAGTAGGAGTAGGCGTAGGCGTAGGAGTAGGAGTANNTAGCAGCAGCAGCAGCAGTAGCAGGCGTCCTCTACCAACCACCTGTCCTAAACACCGTTTAAGAGAAAATCCAATTTACTTGGCATTTACAGTACTTTAGTGATGTCGTAGTCCAATACAAGCCACCGCCGTTGAGGGGTGGTTGGGGGGGTGGGGCGGGGGGGGGGGG